GGTTGGCTTACCAGCCCCTTGCTCTTTGTATTCCAACTTGCTGTGGGGTCAAATGGACCTTCCGACATTCTTTTCGGTCATATATTTTTTATCCATTAGGGGTTTCTTCGTCTGTCAAATTGGGTTTAGCTTGATTTTGTTAGTTTGCTTCACTTGGGCAGCTCACTGTTCTGGTTATGTCTCATCTTGGAGGAATTGTGGGAGGACAAATGATGCTTAGTTCTTATTCTACACACTGAGATTTATCAATGTGGACTAAAAACTCCGCTTATTATCTGATGTCTTCAGTCCTTTATCTCCCAAGGATTATATTTCAATCTGTTATGCCATTGCTGGTTTTTTCCCTCATCGTTTTAAATGATACTTCGTTCCTTTTGTGAATTGGGGTGTCTGTCAGTTTACTGTTTTGATTGTGTCTTCATGGGGGAACTGTGGGAAGGCAAGTGATGTTTAGTTCTTATTCTACACACTGAATAATCAATGTGGACTACAAACTCCGCTTATTATCTGATGCCATCAATCTCTCGAGGAGTACAGTCATTTTGTATGGAATTGTAATGTGAAGTCGATTATTATGTATTGGGTATGTGAAAATGTGATTGCTGTTGAATGTCGATGATGAGAAAAAGCAGACGGGCGGTCAGAACTGATGCCATGTAGATTGTCTGCACACTTCCAATCTATTGGAGTGTCTCTGAGAGCTTTGCACCAACCATGGTTTTTGTTTTGGCGAAATAACTCTATTTTTCTACCCAACAAGGTTTTCATGTGTGATTATGGCAGTGTTTTAAATTGAAGTGTGAGTGTCTGTCTGCAATGCAATGATGATGAAAAAGCTCAATTTATGTCTGGACTTATGATTGTCTGTGATTAACCAAATGCTATCTATTCATCTGAGCATTGTCACCAAGCTTTTGTCTACCACTATTGAAGTTAAGTTAATTGGATGTCATCTATGGTTCATTGTTTACTTTTAGTGAGTATACTAAGAGTGGAGGAGGTACAGTCAGAAGCTCAGTTTCTAATAATTTGGCTAGGGGCAGCGTTCTCTTCCTCTGCATACGAGGCAGTATGAGCATCGTATTGTTGTGCTTTGGAATTTGGAGATTGATTGCTGAAGTGCTGAACCAACTGTCCTAATTCTTGGTGGGTCACTGAAGTTTGTGTTTCCTGCTGTAAATGTGGACAAACAGTAAGGACTAAGGAGTGGGATTTAGGTGGGCTAGTCGGAGTTGTAACTCTGCTCATAAAGAACCCACATCACATTTTCTAAATCCTTGTGGAACACAACTTTGTTGAATCTGGTGACCAGTTACCGTAATGATTTAGTTGTTTTTGGTTCTTAAATGGCGTGTTGTTAGTTTAGAACTTTGCAGGTAAGCTACCTTTTGCAGGGCTTGAACGAACTTGCTACACGAGATACAAGTTGCTGGAGCTTGGGAACTTTCCAACGGGTTTCACTTCTTCTGTATTCTATTTACTGAGGGCACATGTTTCTGGATTGCGGTTGCATGTTGCTTCCACTGTTGTTTAGTGCCCTCAGGAATTCTGGAATTGTACATCTTATCGAGTTTGCTTTGCCTTATATTAAGGTAAAACTATAGCTTAAGTGACGAATAAATGCAGTTTTTTTTTGTAGTATACAGATGGGTTTTCCTGTTTTGGTTTGTATTATTTCAGTATATTGTCGCAAACTTATGTTGCACAACTAAATACAATTTCGCAACCCGGAAATCGGAATGAACACCCTCTAGAAAGAACCAATGAGTTGTACTTCATCGAATCTCATGATGAAGCTGATGGGAATCCATTACAAATTAATCGACCCGAAGTGAGACTAGAATATGTGAAACAGTGAAATAATTGCCCGAAATGTAATGTAGGCATTCACAAACCAATTCCATCCATTGTTTTATACGTACTGCCATCCACTATATAGGCGCCTCCACTTTTACCACTTTAAGAGTGTAAAGTTGAGATATTCTATTCCCCCCCATCGCTTGTTATTACTCAGGAAACAGCCAGATACAAAAGAGTTCTCAAATTACTGAAAATAAGCAACCAAATTGAATTCAATTAAAGAAGTTAACAATGAGAAGGCCTTTCGTGCCACCAACATGCAACCCTATTACAACGACGATCATAAAGCAATCCGAGAATTGTAGGAATGACTGACGAAGCACCATGACCTCCTCGAGAATCTTCCCCTCGCAGATATTAGCTTTCGCCCCTTCCACGAGCTTCTACTTGGTTTAATTGAATCACAATGATGAGATTCGGATTAGTACTCTGAGTAAATCAAATTAAATTAGTTCATTAGTCAATAATATTTTACCCAAACTCAATACGAGTTATTTTACCAAATTGGAGCCGGATATCGTACCAAATTTAAATAGTAAATTATAGACAAAATACATTTGTATAGCCATAACTTTTGCGTTTTTGCCAATAATAGCCACTTTTCGAAAAATACCAGATATAGCCACTTCCGTCCAATTCTTTAACGGTGTCATTTAACATGCTGACTAGACTAACGGAACCAATTGACATGGCATATTTTATTGAAAATTAATGCCACCTGGAAAACACTCAAAGTTCAATCCTTTTATTATAATTAAGTTAAAATCCTTTTATTTTAAATAAACCTGGTCTCCTTCTCATCGTCCCAACTCCACACCAACTATTCACCTTCTCATCGTCAAAACCCTTACGTCGCTGCCCTCATCGTCGAACTCCACGAGTAAATCCTCATCTCGATGTGAAACCCTTTGATGGCGGCAACAACAATCGCTCGTCCATTTCTCTCCTCTTCTTTGACACCAGCCATTCCCGACCACACCTCAAAAACCCAATTCTTTTCTGACCTAGATTCAATCTACGTAGATTGGAAGGTCGAACTTGAGCAATACCCAGAAAAAAAATAGAGAGATGAAGGAAGTTGGTTGAGCGACTAATTGGAGGGTTTTTTTGTGGAGCTGCAGATTTGGGGTTGGGGTTTAGATTTTCAGATTTGAGTTTTGCTATTGGGGGATGGGGGGGATTTGGTTTTGCGGTGGAGGGACTAGCCCCTTCTCTCTCTCTCTAGTCTCAGAAAGCAATTCGGTTTCTCGCTTCCACCGCCGCCGCCTCCGGCTGCAAAGTCGTAGCCTCTCATACGAGACATATCGCCGTCGAATCCACCGCCATCACTAGAGTATTCGTCTTTGGAAGCAACGCACTTTGAAGTTGGCAAAGTTGTGGGCTTCGCAGTTGCTGACGGTACAGGGCTTTGTCCTCCCGCGCCGTCCGAAGAAGAAGAATGGTCATCGTTGCTGGCGGGGGGTTTGTTGTCGTTGTGGCTGTCTTGATGATGGGGGGATTGGATCCAAAACAAACAAAGAATAAACTAAAAAGGCTATGCGCCTGTAATTATTAAATAAAAATTAAAATATGATTATTAAATAAAAATTAAAATATGATGTGCCTTTTTCTGCTTATTTGGTGCTGACGTGTAGGGGTGGACAACGGGACGGGATTGGGTATCCGTCCAGTTTAAAATGGGTACCCAATCCCATTTGAAGAGAAAACTCAATCCCATTCCCAAACCCGTACGGGTTAACGGGTACCCATTACCCGTACGGGACGGATAACGGGTACCCGCGGGTACTCATATCTAATTTGTAGGTAGCTGATTCAAAACCTGCTGCCGCAGATATCGAGCTTCTGTAACTTTTGGGGGATTTGAGCGGGATACAAAGTGCAAAAATAGGGTGGGGTAGGAAAATCATTTAACTTTCCAATAATCTAGTTAAACTTTGGCGGAAGGTCGTTCATGTTCTTTCTTACTAGCAGAACCCCAATTTTTCTTACTACGAGAACCCCAATTCTTTTTTTTATAACCAAGCTAATTTTATTAAACCCACAAGGAGTTAAACGATACAGTGACCATTTGCTCAATTACTTGAACCAGACAATGGGTGGACATCTATCTATCCTACTTCTCTTGCCCTCGCTCCTGCTTCTATTGGGCGCAGTATCATCAATCTTCAGCTGTTTTCATGTGGATCACTCTAGTTGAGCGGGTAGTACGGGTACCCGTAATACCCAAACGGGTATTAACGGGTAACCCGTGGGTACCTGTTGTAGAACTTATTCATTCCAAATCCCATCCCATAAAATAAATTACGGGTATTTGGGTATCCGTAACCCTCAAAAAACGGGACGGGTATGGGTATACCCAAATACCCGTTTCCCGTTGTCCACCCCTACTGACGTGTGCGCTAAGTTGGAGCCTAATCAGCGAATTGTTAAAAAAGTTAACGGTGTTACTAACACTGTTAAAGTATTTAACGAAATTGGCTAGATTTGTCATACAACAACTAGAAAATCTGGCTATAAGTGGTATTTCCCCAAAATTGGCTATTATTGTCACAAACGCCAAAGTTTTGGCTATACAAGTGTATTTTGCCTAAATTATATGAGTTGTCAAGATATTTTTCATTAATCAACTATATTTTACCCAAACTCAATACGAGTTCTTTCACCAAATTGGAGTCGGATATCGTACCAAACTTAAATAGTAAATTATATGAGTTGTCAAGATATTTTTCATTAATCAACTATATTTTACTCAAGCTCGAAATATAAGATTTCTCCCCCCTCTACCTACCCTGGCGCCGCTGGAACCGCAACAATTCCCGCGCGAAAGGAGCACTCAGATGCAGGTGTAGTGTTCGGCAAAAGTCCTTACTAGTTATGGGTTATATCCGTACTCCAGGGGCCGAGCTACACTTAAGCTAGGGTGGGCCCCTGGGATTGGTCAAGGCCCCTAAGATCGTAAGGATATTTAGTACGAATTTTATAAGTAGAACTTGTTCCGTAAATTTTTTTGTGTAATAGTCATGTGGTCTAATGATAAACAAGTTTGACTTGTGTTTAACAAACGGGTTCGATCCACCATGACTACCCGGCCCCGATCTCGAAATTCTGGCTCCACCCTGGTACTCCTCGCTTTCTGGTCCATGGTCACCGGCACCGTCCCTCTCAAATGGTCCACCGGCAATCTCAGCCGTACGACCTCGACATTCCCACCCACGATGACTTGGACATCCTCGTATGTTGTCAATTGCCGAATTTTAGTGGTGGAAAGAATTAGGATTGAGAATTTTGATATTCTGATTTGTGGGGTTTTCTGGGGTTGTTTTATTAGGAAGTGGAGGAGAGGGAGAAGGTGGACATATGTGGGATGTGTATGTGCAGAGCAAGAACAGGAGGTTGCCTCGTTTTTTGGGAAGAAGCTTTCGAAGCTGCCTATGAAGCTTTGGTTAGTGATGCTGCTGCGGTTCGTGATGGTGCTATTTCTGAGATTGCTAAGATGTCCATTTTGTCCATTAATCTCGAGTCCTTTTCAGCTGCCCAATCCTCAAACCAACCTCTGTAAGTTTGGATTGACTCTGCCTGACTCTTATCCAGTATCTGATTGCTTGATGTTGGTTTTTTACCATTTGAGTTAATGCGATCAAATGGTCGGTTCTAAGTGTTAGTGTTGTGGTATATGATTATGACACTAAAATCTATTAATTGAGTTATTGTGACGAATTGGTTAATTCTGGTCAAGTGGGATTTGGGTTTGATCCCCTGTCTAGCCTGGTGGAAAGTTGGATTCCTTCTGCTGGTTCTTTTTTGGAAAGATTTCTTCTTTCTTTTTACTTTGGAAAACCCTTTTTCAACAAACACATGTAGACAGAAACCAGAACCCAAAACTGTCATTTTTAACCTCCATTTCCTCATTTTTCTATTTGGATTTTTCCATCGGAGCGGCAGAGCTAACGAAAGCAACTAATAGTACTAGTTGCTTAGCTTTCATCAGTTTGGCCCTATCAGTCTATGATTCTTTAGTTCCGAATTGACATATGATAGTGTCGGTTGCGATGATGTGATCAATCGTCTCTGTCTTCGTTGTTTATCTGCAACAATTGTCATTTTGTGTTTGCGATTATGCCTCTGAGACTCGTGACTCGTGAGTTATTGTTGCGTTACTGGGAAACTGCAAAACCATTGAGGAGGAAATCAAGCGAGCAAGGAAACGGGAACAAAAAGGTGTAGGCAAAAGTCATAGCTATAGCAAATTCTCTGTATACTAGTAGCTATAGCAAACCTCATTTATAAGCTTGATTTAGCCACTAAAGTGGAGGTTGAAAGCTCTTGAAAAGTTAATCCATTTAGCGTGAGTTACGCACGTTTATCATATTCTTATTCAACTACGGACATTATGAGGAATGACGTGCAAAAAATTAACCTCATCCATAAGCTTGATTTACTAGAGCAGAGGTTGAAATCTCTTATAAAGTCAATCCATTTAACGTGAGTTACACACAACATTGCAGACTTTATTCGATATTACGCAACATGCTGTTTAATAGTCTTCACATGTAACCTACGATTATGCTCCATCACCTGCCAAGTTTATGCTCCATCAACAGAGTATCTATCCACAATTTAAGCCCAAAAGGCAGGCTCGCTGTCGTTTGCTAGTTTAAGCATGCACAACTGTAAAGCCAATTTCAGGCTTCCCTTTACCTAGAATTAAGGTGAAAAGGAACATCAACTGATACTAATTATGCAAAAAAAAAGGTGGGGTAATTTTAGGTTACACAACAAAATCGCACGAGCAGAGATGAATCAACGTTCAGCCGCTGCTCGCTCTATGTAAAGAAAGGAAAAGGAAAACAAGAACCTCTAGAGAACGAAAGAAAGGGATAAAGAAAACAAAGGAAAAGAGGCAACTGGGGAAAAAGCCATGTGCAAAGAGTTTCAAACAACAAAAACCCTGACATTGTATTTACTAGGATTCTCACCCGTTGCTCTCTCTCTCTCTCTCTATATAACCACCCTAATCTTCAACTGATTGAATCTCTCCCATCATGATTCTGTTGCTCACCACGTTGAACCCAAGAACCGAAGGGCTAACCTTCTTGCCTTTCTTTCCTTTCTTCTTACCACCAGCCTTGGAAAATCCATCGGCCGCATCCTGGTCGAAGTCCTTGATCCCCGCCGAACTGTCAGAATTCATGTCTCTGGCACTGAACCCAGCGGCCTTGCGATCATTCCGATTTTGAAAGGCTATTTCAAGGACGTCTTCCGGCAATAGATCCTTGTAGTTTAGGAACTTTTCGATGAACTGGTGATTAGGGTCGACCGATCCGATGTTCGATACCAGAAGCATCTCTGCTTCTGATCTCGATTGCTTCAAACAGAACTCCAAGAAACTTGTGTCTGTCGGGCAAAAAAATAAGGTAGGATTTGCATCAGAGGAAGTACTGCTGCTGGAAGTTTACGAATTAAGGCGCCGAAATAAATCATTGAACAAGTTCAACAGAACAATAGGGATTAAATCAATCTAGAGTTATGATGAAGCACACACGTACTAATGTTTCCTACTCAGTACTTCTACAGGTGATTTTAGTGTTGCCCATCCAGCATCAAACACATACTTTCATATCTCGGTTCTTAATAAAATAGAAAATGTAGCAGAAAGTTTACCTTTTGAACCGATCAATCTAACACACTCACTCTCGCACCAATCCCTGAAACCCATCGCCTCTGCAAAAGAATTATCATGTAAGGTCCAAGAGTCCGCAAATGGAGAGGAGATTATCTCATCTGACATTGTGCTACCTGAATGTTTATTGTTGGCAGCTTCTTTCTTCCCCTTTAGAGAAGATTGTGCCGGTGAGGAGGAAAGGGGACGCTCAGCAGGCCTGCTATTCATCGACTTCTGACGGCCGAACGAGGTGGCAGGAGTTGCTTTCACAGGAGTGCTGCTTTTGGTTCCCCAACTTCCTTGACTGGTAAGTTGAGGGTACTCTGACCTGTTTACAATTAAAAAAAAAGCAAAATATTAGCACTCCCAACTTCTATCTCAGGGAGATTTTGAATACACTCTGGAACTTGGTACAAACATAGCATGCGAACTGTGGAACTTGGTACAAACACTTGCATGGCCAAAACTTCACCATTTGATTTGATTGGAACAGTTAGCTTCTGTCGGTGGCTCCCGTTGATCAAACAACTTCTCAATCCAATACACCGTTTTCCACTTCATATTTTCTACATTATCAATTCTATCATTCTCTTCTAGTGAAACCCAAAAACTTGCGAAGCCATTTCAGTTCAACTTTAGAAAAGTTACCAAAGAGTCAAAGATCACCTTATCATCTCACAACCAAATCACTTATGTTAATATATAAAAAGATATTCTCAAACTTCCACTTTTATCATATGCTATGTTGACAGCCTCTGATAGGCTTCCTACCGGACAAATCAAACAGAGCTATACAAATGATCAGAAAAGCACATCGATTACAAAACACAGCCTGAATCATCACGAATCAGAAAAAAGTTCACAAAGAACGATGTAGCATATCTACTAGCAACTGCAAATGAAGGAAAGAAGAATAGATTTTGAAGCCCTAAACTACAATAACAAGCAAAGAAGAGACTTTGAAAATAAGCAAGGGACAGAAATCATACTGCTTGGCTTCATGTTTTTGTTCAACCGGGCCCCAGAATAGGTCGTCATCTTCTTTATGCTTCGACTGAGAAGCCGCACTAATCTGGATAGGAGAAGCCACCTTAGATGGAGAAGCTGATGATAGTGGCCATCCAGACCCACTTGCATGCATTGCTTGAGGCTGCGACTTTTGAAGGGTAGGTATCGGGATCTGAGGTTGGGCTGGAGAAGTCTTTTTTCCCTGCTCCTTCAAAATGTCTCGTAAGGATGTGGGTTTGGGAATCTTCTTAGCGTCAGCAGACCATGCCGGAGATGGAGAGTGATTTGAGGTGGACTCATCTTTCCACAAAACAAAGTCTCCAAAAGAAGGGCCTGAAGGGATTGCAGGCAATACTTCCTCTTGTTGCCCCACTCGGGATGAGCCCTTGACTTTCTCAACAGGGCTAGAGCTAATAGGTAGATCAGCAGAAGCTTGTGATACTGCCACTTTGGCTCCAGAACCCTTTCCTTTACCAGACTTTTTTCGGCTCTTTTTAGTGTCCTTAGCCTCAATAAAGTTGTTATCATCCATAGACTCCATACTGTTACTTGCTAGTTGCTGCGAAGATAAGCCAGAAAAGCTGTCTCTTGACTCCATCTCTTGTTCAACCGTCTTAGCCAAAACTTCTACAGCCAATAGATCATGTAACTGGCTTTTCTTACTTCTAGAGCTCGGTGAAATTTCAGGCCTCATACCATATAGTTCTGCGCTGTTTGCCACTTTTTGTACTTCTCTGAGGTTCTGAGGCTCCGCACCACCTACAAGACCAGACCAAGGAGCTGACAGGCCCACGGAACTGACAACCGGCATGGTCTCAGGAACAGGCACTTCCATCTGTACTCGCCTCTGTTCTTCCTGCTGAATTTCCAATAAAGACTTCGGTTTGAAACCAGGAGCAGGTTTCCAAGCTCGTTGAGCTGCAAGGCTTGGTGCCTCTTGAACTGGGACTGAAGCAACTTGCTTAACTTCACTCTTAGTTTCCACGGCATCATCCTGGGAAATGCCAGCTGACATCATCAAACTCTTAACCTGTAGGTTTTCCACATTTTCCACAGTGCAACTGCCCATTTTCTTGTCTTTCGTCTTTCGCAGAGATGTCTCATGAAACTTTCCTGCAGTTTCATCAACTGATTCCAGCAGCTGTGAAGAGCCAGCCTTTGATGTAGCTTTCCCCTGGTCAGATGAGGAAACAGCCTTGGCAGACTTCTGTTTTCTAGATTTCTTTTCAGAAGATTTTTTTACCTCACGAACTTCAATACCTCTCACTTCTTCAACAGACTCGACATTAACTTTCTCTTTAACAACTTGCTGCTCCTGAGCAGGGGCCTTCAGACTTTCAGGGATTTCAGGTTCAGGGACATAAGTATCCTCTGATGGCTCAGCAATGGGCAAAGAACTAGCAGCTCTTTTACCTTCGCCGGTTGCCAAGGCCTCTACTGCTCTATGCTCCAGTTGAGGAGAAACATGCGACTCGGAAGGATGCACATGCCCAACATAACTATCAACTGAAGAATTGTTTATTGCCGCCTTTGACAGTGAGCTTTCAACAAATGCAGATGAGGGAAAAGATAACTTTTCATGGATATCATCAATTTGTTCAGGAAGACTACTACCCTGAGTTTTAGGGGCATTAGCCTCTCCAAGCAATTGATGAGGAAGATGTATAAAAGATGGCTTTGAATCAACATCGTGACTGACGTCATCCATTACTTGTGGTTGTGGAGTCAGGTTGATGGAACTAGTGGTGTGATCATCTTGAACATTGGAAACAGGCAATTGCTGCAAGCCCATCTGGAGCGCATCCTTTGAGGGTTGAAGACGAGAAAGATCGACAGATGAACTTCCAGAAGCCATGGCAGCGGTATGTTGCAACTGACCATAGGAATGG